AGACATTTTCCCTTAAAATACACAATCTCCGTCCTTTTTACCACAAAGTGAGCACCTTTGTGGGTTAAAGCGAAGGACCCAAACTCGTTTTGAAGCTGAAATGAGCCTCAGAACGGGCTTCGTGTTTAAGAATAGCTTTAGCGGTTTGCTTCAGGCTCTTATTCTCCTTCTTCTCCTTCTTCTCATCTTTCAGGACGGAGACCCGCTGAACTTGAGCTTCATCCCTCTGGACATCAGGCTAACCAACTGGGACGAGCTGCCCGAGGCCTTCAGCCGACGCCCCGAAAATCGAGCGCAGGTCTGCCCTTCCCGCCGGGCGTGTGCACGTACGTGTGCACGTACGTGTGCACGTGCGCGAGCGTGCACGTGCGAGCGTTGGTTTCCACCAGCGAGATGTCCCCGATTAATTTGTCGTGTAAAAAGGAGAAAAATAACTTTGGATTAACCCCAAACTGCTCCACAAAAAGCCAGAATATCCCTGCCTTGCCTCACAATTAACTCATTGACTGCCAGAGCTTTTTGAGCATTTTGACTGATTTTTCAAGAGCCACAGAATAGTTTGTGCTATGACTATGTAAACACCGAACACACCAAAAGAAAGAGTAGACTCTCTCCTTTCATCAGGAAAAAAAATGTGTTTCTACCTTATTCCGTTCTTCCTCGACTTGCGTCTCACCGGCCACATGTTCTCTCATAGAACCGTTACCTTTTTCTTATTTTTCTTTTTTCCTCTGAATTTAACCCTTTAAATCCTGATCCAAGAAAAATAGGAAAAATATTGTTTTTTTTAGTCTGAAGTCTTTCTTTGGCCCCTCAACAACATATGAAGAAAAAAAAACAGAAATTACTTTGATCAAATTAGCGTGCAATAAGTCAAAAACATATTTCCGTGTAGTCTTCTACTGGCTGTTATCAGGTATATCTGAATGTGTACAACAGGGGTTTGAGCAAAGCTTTTACCACTGAATGATGCAAAAAGTCTCTGATCCAAAAGACTTTAGAAACCGTTTGTATCAGATATGATACGTTTAGCATTATAGGGTTAAAGTGAAAAGCAGAAGAAAAGCAGAAGACACTTCTCTGGAGTGTTGTTAGGTTCATCCCCCAATAGGTTGCTCTCTAAATCACCTTCATAACGCAGAAGTGGAGATCCCTCCTCATTTCCTCGGCCTCTTAGGGAGGGGGGGGGTTATTAACCCTTTAATGCCAAATGTATCATATTTGATTAATACGGTTTCTGAAATGTTTTGCGTCTTAGACTTAGACTTCCTTTATTGTCATTGTACAAAAAAAACACAAGGTAAATCTTGACAACGAAATGTCGATTACTTGGCTACCAGTGTAACAGAGCTAAGACCTTATTCCTACTTAATAAATGTGTTTTCTATAACTAAGAGCTAGATATATACAGGGTAAGAGCATATATATACATATTATTGCACAGATTTATTACAAAAGAAACATCAATGAATATTGCACTGAGTTATTGCAAAAAGAAACAACTGAGTTGAAGGCAAAGCTAAACTAAGGTGTGTGTATTGTCCATGTCTATGGGGGGGGGGTTTAGTGTGTGTGTGTGTGTGTGTGTATTTGTGTGTGTGTGTGGGGAATGGAGGAGTGTTATTTGGACAATGTCTGACACCTTTTGCATAATTTAATGGTAAAAACTTTGCTCAAAATCCTATTGTACACAATCAGATACACCTGATAACAGGGGGCAGAAGACTACACAAAAAATAATCTTGACTTATCGCATAGTAATAAATTATTAATATCAAAAAAGTATTTCTGTTTTTTCTTTTTACATATTTTGTTAAAAGGCCAAATAAGGAATCAAACCCCCCAAAAAAGTAATTTTCTGTTTTGTTTTATTCTTGGATCGGGCTTTAAAGGCTTAAAAAGTGTATTTTATCTGCACCCTTCACTTTCCGTCTGTCTAATTTTCACTACTTTTCTCTTCTTGGTTTTTCTGCTTTTAAATTCTCCGTGAAGCACTTTGAATTTTGCTGTAAAACAACCTTTCCCTGCCGGCGAGGAAGAGGAGGGTTTGGAGACGAAGGGGGGGGGGGGTTTAGGCAGAAAGTGGCATTTTATGAGGGTCGTTAAAGGAGACGGATCATCGCCTCAAACGACCCGTGCGTATTAAATCCTGCAATCTGGCCGGGGCCTGACAGACGCCAGGTTGTTTATGTTTGTTTGTAAAAACCCGGGCGTGAGCCGCGTCCTCCCCCAGACCCATCATTTACGCCCGTTACCCTCCGATTGTCCCGCGCAATCAATACGGGCCGAGCGGTTTAATATGAGCCGCCACGCCGCGGGGGAGAGGCCGAACACGCCCCAAACTTCAGAAACAAAGCGGATCAGAAGTTAAACGGGAGGATTTTCTATTAGTTCGTTAGTTGTAAGCAATCTATGAGAAGAGCTCAGGGTCAGAGGGATTTTTTAACACCGTTTTGGAGTAAAATGGATATTTTTAACACTGTTTTGGTGAAAAATTGAGGTTTTTAACACTGTTTCTGGAGAAAAATTGAGATTTTTAACACCGTTTTGGAGAAATATTGAGATTTTTAACACAGTTTTGGAGAAAAATGTAGATTTTTAACACCATTTTAGAGAAAAATTGAGATTTTTAACACCGTTTTAGAGAAAAATTTAGATTTTTAACACCGTTTTGAAAAGAAAATTTAGATTTTTAACACCCTTTTTGAGAAAAATGGAAATTTTTAACACCGTTTTAGAGAAAAATGTAGATTTTTAACACCGTTTTGGAGAAAAATTTAGATTATTAACACTGTTTAGGAGAAACATTTAGATTTTTGTAACCGTTTTGGAGAAATATTTCGATTTTTAACACCGTTTTAGAGAAAAATTGAGATTTTTAACACCGTTATGGAGAAAATTTGACATTTTTCGGGTTCTTAGTCTCTTTAAACATGATCATATCCTTAAAATGCCTCTTGATCAGGACTAAATCCAGTCAGTGAGTTGTGGGAACTCCCATCAGAGTTTATGCGATTTAAGCTGCTTCTCTATTGGCTTCCCCAGAATTACAGATACATCCATCTTTTACATCCAGTCTAAGAGTTCCCTCGAATCTTTACTCAGACTCTTTAGTCTCTCTCTAACCCTTTGAAATGACCAGGTTTTTTATATGTTTTGCTATTTAAAAAAGGGAAAAAAGAAGCTGAAAACTCGGGTCTGTTGGGTCCAGCCCCTAATATAAAAACATACAGCTAACCAATACAAGATGAACTCAGTTTTACTTTTTATGTCCTATCCTGAGAATGATTTAATCTCTCATTGTCGCATAATAACGTCCTATAATGACGTTTAAATTATTATTGAAGCAAAACACAATAATTTGAGCTGTTCTGCTAAATACACACCTGTTATAAACAGGTGTTTACCCCATTATATAGTATATTACCATATGATTAAGTCCATTCACACCATAACAATGTCCTCCATGTGAGCTAATTACATTGATCCATTCCCCTTTAAGGCACAGGATTGATTATGCCTGAGAATAAAGCTTTTTGAGGCCACGTTTGTGGATATTTCCGACGGTTTTAGCTCCTTTTGTTGGGTCAGATTCTGCTTTAGGGCTGAAAATAGACTCATCCACACCTCCAAACGGAGTCACGTAAGAAGTGACTCTTTCTTACATAAACAGAACTGCACAGTTTCAGCTTTTCTGTTTGACTTTTTTCTTTTTGCTGGATGGTTTAGGTTCATTTAGAGTGGTTGCACCGGTTTTGGTTTGGTTTGGTTTTGATTTGGGGTCCAATAGTTGCCAAAAATGACCCCCAAACACCCACATGTTTTACATTTTGGTGCACAGAGGTGAGTAAGAGCTTTAACCGTTACCCCAAATCTTCGAACCCGAAGTTAAAACTAATCCATGAAGCCTCTATAGAAGCACTCAGAGGGAGGAATGACCCAAAACCTGACCAAAAAGTTAAAAAACAACCTCAAAAAACAGTCTTTGCCCTCATAACAACAACATGGACATCAGGATTTGGCCCCCAACTCTGAAAAAATGAACGCGAAATAAGAACAAAGACGTCTTAAAATGTGATAAAACAACTTAATTTAAGAGAATTAAACCAAACTCATCCAGCTGCTCCTAAATATTGACTTTAAACAACAACTAGAGTTTTAACACCATTTTGGCGAAAAATTTAGATTTTTAACACCATTTTGGAGAACAATTTAGATTTTTAACAATGTTTTGGAGAAAAATTTAAAAATTGAACACCGTTTTGGAGAAAAATTGAGATTTTTAACACCCTTTTGGAGAAAAATTGATATTTTTAACACCGTTTTAGAGAAAAAGGGAAATTTTTAACACCGTTTTAGAGAAAAATTTAGATTTTTAACTCAGTTTTGGAGTAAAATGGAGAGATTTAACATCATTTTTGGAGAAAAATTTAAAATTTGAACACCATTTTGGAGAAAAATTTAAATTTTTAACACCGTTTTGGAGAACAAAGAACAAAGACGTCATAAAATGTGATAAAACAGCGTTGTAAAGATACCCTCTCAGCTCCCGCTCCATCAGGTCGTGTTTCTGAGGCGGGGGGTGTGGGTCCCGGAGGATAAACGGCCCTCAGGCCTGGTGGGGGCTGTAAATTGGCCATTAGGCCTCGGAGCGCGATATCTCCTTCGCTTTGATGAGTTTTGATCAGACTATCTGGGAAAACTCTCTCCTTTAGAATTGTTTTTATCTCAGCTCAAGTGTATTTACCTACATAAAAAGAGCATTTTGCTCTTAGAGGCGCCCCCGTGTCAAAAATATCAATTTGGACGAATATGAGGCTGAATTGAAGTCGAGGTCTTTGTCCCAGAGATGTACAGTAACCAAGTAGAACTACTTAAATACCAAAATGCAGTATCTGTACTTTATTGTAGTATATATTCTTTTTCCCTACTTTTAGTTTTACTCCACTACATATTTTTGATTAAATTAATACTTTTACCTTTACCTTCATGGACTGAATCGATACT